GGGAAGCTGATCACCTTAAATTACAAGGAGGCTGGGTTGCTGTTTTAGTAGTTTGATGTTACTCTACCTCTTATTTGTGCTTGTTCAAGATGTTACATTCCAGGGCTTTCAATTTAAAATTTGACGGTCTTTATGCTTTTAATAATACAAAGGTGGTAAATTTCACTATGCTTTTCAAAGTTTTTCAGTTAACTATTCAGCCTCTTGTACTAGTTTTGTTTTGTTTGTACTGCTAGGGATCAAGCAAACATGAGCTCTATAACTGAGCTGCCCACCTCCTCCAAACCCCCTTAAAAATTTTTGTAAGAGACAGGGTCTTACTAGGTTGCCTGGGCTGATCCTGAACTCATAATCCTCTTGCCTTAGCCTCCCAAGTAGCTGGGAATACAGGTGCACACCACCACACTAGCCCTTGTATAGTTTTAAAATTAAGCAAATGTCCTGAGGAAAATAATGACTGTGAACTTAAAATTCTTGCAGTCTCCTAATTTTAATAGTCCGGCCCTGCTTAAATATCAGAAGCTCTCCTAGCTTTTCTATTCATCAGCAGAAATATTCTGCACAGACTAAGACTAAACTATCAGCCTCTGACCTGAGCCCATGTTTTAGTCTGTTTTGTGTCACTGTGACCAAAAGACCTGACAAGAACAACTTTAAGGAGGAAGAGTTTATTTTGGCTCACAATTTCAGAGGTTCAGTTCATGATCAGCTGATTGCATAGCTCTGGCCCTCATGTGTGGCAGAATATCATGGTAAAAGGGCATGGTGGAGGAACGCAGCTGAGATGACAACCAGGAGGCAACAAAAGAGCTCCACTCACCAGGGACAAAATATAAGCCCCAAATGCACACCTCCAGTGACCTATTTCCTCCAGCCACATCCTATCTGCCTATGGTTAGTGTCTAGTTAATCCATATCAATGGATTAATACACTGATCAGGTTGTACCTCATAGAATCTAATCATTTTACCTCTGTAAATTCTTGCATTTTCTCCCTGTGAGCTTTTTGGGGGGACACTTCATATTTAAACCTAACAGCCCACAATCAGAAAATACCCACCGTTAAAAAAAAGAAGACAAATGCTGATTATCTGAACATCTTTAAAAGATTCCCTCTCTTGAGTTTCAAGCTTTTTTGTTCCCATGGCTTCTACAGCTCTCTACAATCTTAAAAAATGTGATTTTAAAAAAATAATTCATTTTGCTTTTCAAGTTGTTCCTAGCAAGAATAGTCTGCTGTGGGCTGTCCTTCTTACCTTGATATGAATAACTTTCTATTTTTAAAAGTGCACGAAATAGTCAATTGTTATGAATTATTTTGTTTTATATAGTGTTATTTAGGTACTATGTTGTTGGATTTTAGTTTTTGGTGTATAATTTTTAAAAATTGGCTCCATTAAAATATCATTACATATCTTAAAATGTACCCAATTGAAGTATATGGATGGTGTTTGATAACAATACACATTTTCTTATTACTACCACCATGACCAAAAAACAGAATTTTTTTTCCAGGAAAATGGATGGAACTTTAAAAAAAAAATTAGTTTATTTATTTATTTTTGCATTACAATTCTTAATACACCTCTATACCACAATTTATCATATCTCAAAACAGAAAATTTTTATCACCTGGAAAAGTTCTCTCTTCCCTGGCAACCACTAATTCCTTTTCTATTTCTGAACTGCAACATAAATGAAAGGCAGCATGTGGCCTTCTAGGTCTGTCTTTCACTTAATGATCTTATGTTAATAGTTGTCTCTTTATTGCTGAACACCTTTCTATTATATGGAATATGGTACAATTTGATTATCCAGTTATCAGTTAATGGACATTTGTGTTGCTTTCTAGGTTTTAACTAGTATGAACGAAACTTCCAAGCATTTGTGGACATGTATTTTCATTTCATTTGGGCAAATAGATTTACTGATTTTCTTGATAATTGTGTCTAACTTTATAAGACAATGACACACTGTTCTCTGAAGTGGCTGTATCACTTCACATTTCCTTCAGCAATGTATGGGAATTGCTCCATTCTTGATCCATGAATACAGCATACTTCTCTATTCACTTAGGCCTTTATTTTCTCGCAAGTATGCTTTATGGTTTTTGAGTATACTTTCAATAGTGGATTTTTTTTTCTTTAACAAGTACTTATTGAGTATCTGTTAAGAGCCAGGCACTGAGAAGCCAAGTTAAATATATGCTTCATAGGCATTAGCACTGAGGAGAAAACCAAATCAAGATGTCAGGAATTGGAATATATGAGTATATTGGGGAGAGGACTGGTGTCTTAATCATTCTGAGTTGCTGTAACAAAAATACCAACAGACTACGTGGCTTAAACAACAAACATTTCATACAGTTCTGGAGAGAAGAAAGTGCAAGATAAGGTAATAATAGAGTTGATGTTTGGTAAAAAGCCTGCTTCCTTGAAAGCCATCTTCTCTGTGTCCAATGACCAAAATGGGTCTAGAGGGCTTTCTGGGATCTCTTTTTATAAGGACACTAGTCCCATTCATAAGGATGCCAGCCTCATTTTAATTACCTCCCACCAGCCCATCTCCTAATACCATTGCTTTGAGGATTAAGATTTCACCATGTGTATTTTGGGGTGAAATAGTCATTTAGTTCATTCGAGCAGGGTTACAATTTTAAGTTGAGAAGACTGAAAAGTCTTCATTGACAAGTTTGCTATAGGCGCTAACCTACAGCAAACAACTAACAATTAGAAACAACTAACAGTTTCAGGAGGAAAGAGGAAAGATGATGGGAATTTGAATATGTGTTCTGAGTGTGCCAATTAATTAACTCTCCGACTTGTTTTCTTTTTTGCGGGTGTGGGCAGGGCTGGGGATCAAACCCAGGTCCTCATGGATTCTAGGCAAGCATTCTACCACTGATCCACATCCCCAACTCTTTTCTTTTGAGAGAATCTGGCTAAGTTGCCCAAGCTGACTTATATTTGTGACCTTTCTTCCTCAGTCTCTCAAGTAACTTGGATTATAGGTGTGTGCCACCATGCCCAGTTCACACTCTTCTCCTAGTCTGGCATTATATGCTCCCTTCTCAGTGTCAGCATTTCACCTTTGCCTCAGGTTTTCTTTTTGAAGCTGAAATGGCAGCTTCTAAGCTTCTTTGATGGCAACCTATAGTAAGAAATTTATTTTATGTGGGCTGGGGAAGTAGCTCAGGGATAGAGAGCTTACCTAGCATATGGGAGGCCCTGAGTTCAGTTGTTAATACCACCAAAAACTCTGCATTCTCATCCAGTATACATATATGTACTCATAAACATCTGAAACAATACTGTCTGCAGATATCTGAAACAATACCATTACTAGGCATATTGTACTCAGTTGCTTCCTTTTCGTATTCTGTTTCATTTAAAAAATGCTGGATAAAACTATATTGCTGGACCAGAGGGTAAAAACATTTGCAACTTTGTTAGGGTATTGATACGTTTGTTGACCATATAGTTTGGACCAATTTATCCTCTCACTGGTAGCCTATTGAAGTATGCTAAAGCTGACCAGGGTGCTTTGAGAAGTCTATACCTAGAGTGCGTGACTCATCAGTATCTTCAAACTCAAGCAATACCTAACATTTTTATAGTTAAGAGTATCTTGTGCTTTAACTCAACTTTTTTTTTTTTTTTTTTTTTTTTAAGTAACAATAATACAGTGATACAGAAGTCTGGAAGCCATCAGCTTTCCCTGTCTTCATTTTGTTGTTGATGTTTTTTTCTTAATGTGTCCCCCAAGATTTTGAAAAATTTATGTACTTCCTTATATAATTATGGATTCACAAGAATTTGCAAAGATCCTGTATATCCCTCATTTGATTTTCTCATTATTTATATGTTACTTATCTATAGTATAATATCAAAACCTTCTAGTTCCTCATTGTAGGTTTGTGTAACTACCACTGCCAAGGACAGAACCAGTCTACTACCACATATTCTTTCCCCCAAAACCCTAGGTGCTGTTAGTCAACTAATCTATTCTCTATCTCTATATTGTCATTTCAAGAATGGTTGAAATAGAATCTTATAGTATATGATTTTTTTAAAAATTGTTTTTTTTTTCACTCACTATAGTGACCTGGAGAATCATGCATGTTGTTCCCAGTAATCTAAGTTCCTTTTTATTGCTGATAGTGTTCAGTGGTATGGATGTATCACAGTTCATTTAACCATCTGTTGTAGGATACATTTGTTCTTCCTGGTTTTTCATGTTACATCTAAATCTTCTATGGACAGCCATGTGTAGATTTTTGTTTGAACACAGTTTTCATATCTCTGGGATAAATGCCAGAAGTGTAATTGTTGGATTATCTGGGAAGTATATATTTAGATTTTCAAGAAACTGTTAAAAGATTTTTCAGAATGGCTGAACCATTTTACATTTGCAGCAGTGAAGGAGCAATCCAGTTTCTTTGCATCTTCATCAACATTTAGAATTCTATTTTCTCTTCTACTAGTTGTGTAGTTTGAGTTCATGCAGTCTTATTTTGCATGAACTCAAACTACACAACTACACAACCTCATGGTTGCTGATATTGAACATCTTTTCAAATTCTTATATACCATCCCTTTCTCCTCTTCTGTAAAATGTTTCTTCATGTCTTTTGCCCATTTGCTAATTAGATTTTTTGGTTCTTACTGTTGAGTTTTGAGAGTTCTTAATATATTCTAAATGTGACTCCTCTGACAAATATGTGATTTTAAGGTATTTTCTCCCAATCTGTAGCTGGTCCTTTCATCCTCTTAAATAGAGTCTTACAGTAAAATTTTATAATTTTTCAAATTCTTTTAGTTTATCAATTTTTGTTCTTTTATGCCTCATGTTTTTGAAGTTTGAGAACTCTTCATCAAGTTCTAGGTCTTAAAAAAATTTCATCTTTTTTCTCCAAAACTTTATGCATTTAAATCCATGATGAGTTGATTTATACAATAAGGTTTGAAGTTTAGGTCAGGTTCCTTCATTTGCTTTAGTACCATTTGTTGAAAAGATAGCCTTTCTCCATTTGATTGCTTTTGCACATTTGTAAAAACTCTATTGGCTGTACTTGTATTGGGCTCATTCTGTTTGAGCGATCCATTTGTGTTTCCCTCTGCCAGTCCCATAGCGTCTAAATGTAGTTATGTAATCATGAAATCAGTGATTTCCTTATGTTTGAATCTTTTTCAAAATTGGGATTTAGTTATTCTCGTTTCTATAAACTTTAGAATAATCCTGTCTACAGGAATTGTGTTAAACTTGCATAAAATTCAGATCTTTTTTTCCTGTGTTTTATAAAATCTTTTAATCTAGAAGTCCCATGTATGTTTTATTAGGTTTGTTGTTAATATTTGGTGTTTTTGAGAGATGGTAGCCAAGTATTTGGTGTTGTGTTTTAAATTGTACTTGTGTATGTTCATTTCTAATATACAGAAATACTATTGATTTTTATATGTTGAAATTATATATTGTTACCTTGCTAAACCTAATTTATTAGTTGTAGCTAATAAGTATTGTTTTGGATTTTGCTTTTGCGTTTTGTTGATTCCTTAGGGCTGTATGTAGACTAACTTGACATTCGCAAAAAGTGACAGCTTTATTTGTTCTTTTCCTTTCAGTATGCCTTTTATTCTTTTTTGCCCTGGATAGAACTTCTAGTACTTTGTTGAATAGCAGTGTGGGAGCAGACATCTCTGCCGTTTTCAGTTTTAGAAGGAAAACATTTAATGTTTTTTCATTTTTTCATGTTAGCTATATAGTTGAGGAAGTTCCCCTTTGTTCCAAGGTTTTTGATAGTTTTGTTAATGAATGGGTGTTGAATTTTGTCAAATTCTTTTTCTGTATAAGTTGATAGATATTAAGCTGTTAATGTGTATTGAATACAAATTTATTTTTTATGTTTTTTAAACTCATAGTTGATTTTTGAATATTGAACCTTCCTTGTATCCCTAGAATAAACTTCCTAAAGTTATAATTTACAATTCTTTTTATATGTTGTTTTTTTTGTTTTCTGTTTAAACTCATGAAGACTATCATTTGGGTCTTGTTTTTGTTTGGTTCAACCTTTTTCTGTTTGTGATTTAAGGCTAATATTTGATAAATTTTTCATCTCTTGTATTTTCTAGAAGCATTGTGTAGCACCAGTATTATTTCTTTAAATGTTTGATAAGGTGCTACAGTGAAACCAATTGGGAAAGAGATTTCTTTCTTTTTCTTTTCTTTTTTTTTCGGTTTCTTTATCCCACTTTGTTCCATTGTCCCAGGTGTGTAACACCTATTAAAAACTTAAATTGAACAACAAATATACCATTTTTAGGAACTTTAATTATGTTTTGGGATTTCTGTACTTTTGAGAATAGTAAAAGTAAATGACTAGAGTGTTTGAAAATATTTTTAGTATTCATTGTGAAAATTGTATAAACAATACTATAAAAGTTACTACTGTTCAGTTTAACAAAATATATATGTACATAACTGATATGTAATATAAGAATTGCATTTATGAAAGTATTTTCTAGTACTGTGCTTGTTATTTCTATTTTGAGGAATGCCCTGTGTTTCAAATATCAATGTTCAAACATAGCTGTCCTATAAATAGTACACTCGGACAATGTATAGTAGTATGCCGCACTGCTGATGACAAACTTTAATGTGTTATTACTTATTTTTTTTAATTGACAAGTATGACCTATGTTTTCTTACTCTAAAGAATATATTAGAGCTGAGTATGGTGGTCCAAGACTGTATTTCCAACTTTGAAGAATGAGGCAGAAGGATCTCAAGTTCAAGATCAGCCTGGGAACTTAGTGAGACCCTGCCTCAAAATAAAGGGGGTTGGGGATATACTTCAGTGATAATGAGCACCCCTGGATTCAATCCCTAGTACCAAAAAGTGAAAGAAAGAAAGAAAGAAAGAAAGAGAGAAAGAGTATTTTAGAGAAAACACTTATTTTTGACTGCTTAGGGAAAATGAGGAATTCATTGGCACATTACAGCTTGATGGAGATTTTTGAAGAACTATTGATACCGGAAATGGTCAATGTCCACTGTTCAGAAAGTAAGAATAAATTTGAAGTATGTAGTATAGATGTTAAAAACATTTTTAGGAATTCTTATGTTTTCAGGTTATCATAAGCTACCCTCCATAAGAAGGTACTGGTCAAATGATGAAGATTTGGGTATATGCATCAAAAATGCAGTGTCAAGAAATCGTTTCCAGGAGCTGAAAAGTACCATACATTTTTGCAACAATAATGAATGGCAAGAGAATTTTGAAGATAAAGGTTTTAAAATTCATCTTCTAATAAATAAGATACAAAAGTCATGCATGAACTTTGGTATCTTTGAAGAATGTTTGCCAGTGGATGAAATGGTTATCAGATATCATGGACCCAGTTTGCTGAAACAGTTTATAAGAGGTAAGCTCTTAGTAAGATGTGGTTTTAAATTCTGGGCACTATGTGAAGTATCAGGATATTGCTTAACTTTGACTTACATTGTGGGAAAAGTGCTTGAGAAGAACCCATTGATAATTCTTTGCTTGGGAGTAAGGTAATACTACATAGGCTCGAAGTAGTAGAGAATCCACAATCACACTCTGTTTTTTCCAACAATCTATTCATTGGTTATGACTTGTTACACCTGTGAAATATTGGATTCTAGGCTACAGGCACCACTAAGGAAACAGACTAGACAATTACCTGCTGAAACCAACAACATTGATGAAAAAACAGGTCTGAGGTTCCTATGGTTACAGATTTGACACAAATAATGAAATTCTTATTTTAAAATGGATAGATTTTAAAATGTGTCACTATTGGATTAAAAAGTTTGGCAAAGTTCAATTATAGAGAAATAGAGTAAAGTCAGTGTACCTTAACCAAAGGTAGTCGTGGTGAGAATGAATACATTTTTTTTTGTTTCTAATAGCCCCCTTTTATTAAAAGTAAAAACTGATTCACTTTATTCACTTGAAAAATTGGTGTGTGTATCATAAGTGCATGGATTATTCAAACATTTGTGAACAAAGACAAGATCTCATGAGTTTGTTGTATTTCCGTAGAGTATGCCTAAAATGATGCAGTTAGTATACCTAAAATGATGCAGTCAGAAACCATCAGGAGGAAAAAAATGTAATACTTCCAGACCTACTACTCCCACAGTGATATCAGATTTAACATGAGCAGCCATGCTCCTGAATTGCAAGAACAATGATGATGACAGAATAAATTCTATTATGTGAAACCACCAACATATTGTCAATAATGTAACCCTATGTTTGAAGTAATTTGCTCCTTTCCATCAAAATTAATTGTTGACCTGGTTTTTACATATTGTGTGAAGTGTGAAAGGGTATTTATTTGCCCGATGTTCTATTTATAGAATGGCGTCTAAATGTAGTAAAAAGGTACCGTGTTGTTCCAGTGCTCTATTTATAGAACAACCTGTATTTTCATTTTTTTAAAAAATTTATTTATATGTGATGCTGAGAATCTAACCCAGTGCCTCACACATGGTAGATAAGCAAGCACTCTACCACTGAGCCACAACCCCAGCCCTGTATTTTCATTTTTAATGATAATAAAGAATGTATAACTTCTAGATTATAACTTTTAATATATTTAATGCACCCGTGCCAGTTTCATTGAAATATTTACAGAACTAAAATCTTAGGACTTTAATAGGTTAACGATTATGGGGTAGTTCAAATGATATATTTTATATTGGCTAAATTGCAATAGTATGTGTTTATATGTATCAAGGCATTGGTCCATTTCATCTAACATGTTAATTTTGTGTATACAGTTGTTTATCGTTTTCCCTTTTTATTCTTTATTTATCTGTGGGGTCTATATTGATAGTCCCTATTTAATTGCTCTTATTGATAGTATATTCTCCTTTTTTGTTTTTGATAGTCTTGTTAGAAATTTGTTAGTTTTATTGACCTCCACCAAAAAACAAGAACATTGATTTTTCTTTTGTTCATTTTTCTGTTACTTTTTGATTTCAAATTTCATTTTTTTTCTGTTCTTTATTATTATCTTTTTCTTGCTTTGGTTTAGTTTACTATTTTTTAGTTTCTTTGTGTGGGAGCTTAGATTTTTTTGATAATTTCCCTCTTATTTAGTGATATAAATTTCAATCAGTGTTGCTGTGTCCCACACATTTTGTTTTTTTTATTTTCATTTTCCTTTGAGACTTCCTCTTTGACCTATGGATTATTTAGAAATGTGCTGTTAGAGTTTCTTGTTATCTTTGTTAATGATCCCTACTGTAATTCCATTGTGTTGAATTATATTAGAGAACTCTTTATAATTTCAGTTCTTAAATTTTTTTTGAGGTTTGTCTTATAGTCCAGGATATGGTTTATGTTGGTATATGTTCTGTATGATATACTTGATTATATGACATAAGTTGAAAAAAAAGTATGTTCTCCTATTTTGTTGTTATTATAAGTGTTTTATAAGTGTTTAGATTTTTTTTGGTCTGGTAGAATTGTTAAATTCTTCTGTATGCTTGCTGATTTTATGTCTAATTTTTTCCAATCTTAATATTTTCAGTGGAGCAGCTTTTTCTTTCTTCTCCTTTAACAAGTGTGTATATATATTTTTAATTCATGATCCATTCCCCTTCAGGTTATTTTCTTCTGTTGCATCAGATTTTGTTCCATGTGGTAGTTGGCTCTTCCTTCATTCAAAACACTTTTAGACAAAAGGGAATGGATTTTGTTCTTTTCCTCTCCACCCTCCCTTGTTTTGGGTTAGCTTCCACATACCAGAGAGAACATTTGGCCTTTCATTTTGGGGGGGGACTGGCTTATTTCACTTAGCATGGTATTCTCCAGTTCCATCCATTTACTGGCAAATGCCGTTATTTAATTCTTCTTTGTGGCTGAGTCATCTTCATTGTATTTTAATGACTAAAACTGAAGGACAGCAAGAATGTGATATAGTTTCCTATTGGGATTATTATCATTTACCACCATGCTAAGCTTAAAGCCTGTGTAGAGTCTATCATAGTGAATGAATGAAAGAGTAAGGAACAGAATTTCTCCAGCTTCATCTTTAGTAGAACTGAATATTAATAGAAATAACTGGTTTCCAGTCAGGCATGTTAAGGAATTTAGAAATTACTTCTTCATTATGACATGTAAAAAGCTGAACCAACTAAGAAATCAGCTAATCTTAGGACACTAAGAAAATTAAAGTCACATGGCAAACTGCTGTTCCCAAAATTGGAAAGACAAAAAGAACAGGAAATCACAGCTGATCAAAACAGGAACTCTTGAACAAAACCTCTGTGGGAATTAGTGCCACACTGGAAAACCTAGGCAGTTTTTTGACTTTTGCTAAAGGTTTGTTATGGACAAGTCTGAGGAACAAAAACTTAGTGAGATCATAGTTGCAAGGTGATCCTACTTTTCTGAATATTACCTCCAAACCTTGATCAGGTTGTCATGATAAATATTAGAGAAAATCCCCTCATGGGTCTGGCAAGGGGAGAGAAAAAGTAACATTTTGAAATATACTAGATTAATGTGTTCTTAATCTGTCCTTGGAGGAAACTATTTAAGCAAACCTTAAACTGTATGTGTGTATTTAATTGTACTGAGGATTAAGCCCAGAGCCTTGCACGTGTCAGGTAAGCATGCTATATCACCGAGCTGCATCCTCTGCCCTTTTAAAAATTTTTATTTTGGAACTAGATCTTGTTAAATTGACTTTGATAAAAACTCCAGCAGGCCAGGCCTGGTGGCACACACCTGTGATTCCAGCTACCTGTGAGGCTAAAGTAGGATTGCGTGTTCATGTTTGAGGCGAGCCTGGGCAATTGAGCAAGCTTTAAGCAATTTAGTGAGACTCTATCTCAAAATTTAAAAAGGGCTGGGGATATGGCTCAATGGTTAAGCACACCTGGGTTCAACCTGTAGCTCCAAAAAAAGAAATATTCTGAGAAGACAAAGAGGGCAAAAACATCTTACCTATAAAGATAAGAATTACATTTAACATTTTCTCAGATAACATTCAGACAAAAAAACCAATTGAAATATTTCAAGTGTTGAGAGAAAAATTCTACTAACCCTGTAACTTTGTACCTTGCAAAATGATTCCTTAAATATGAAGGAAAAATAAAGATTTTCTTGATTGAATAGAGGTTGAATGAATTTGTTGATAGTAGGCCAACATTGTAAGAAACGTTAAAGGAAGTTTTTCTTTTTCTTTTTTGTTACTGGTGGCTGGAGTACTGGGGGTCGATCCACTGGTGTGTACCACTGAGCTACATTCCCCTCCATTTTTATTTTTTATTTTCAGACAGAGTCTTGCTAAATTGTCCTGCCTCAGCCACCCAGGTAGCTGGGATTATTGTCATGTACCACAATGCTAAGCTTAAAATGTTCTTTAGAAAGAATGAAAATTGTATAGGTCAGAAACAAGGATCTATAGGACTGTCAGAGAAGGAATAGGTAAAGGGAAAGTAGAAACATTTTATTCTTAATTTATGTAGCAGAAAGGTTTGTTCAGTATTACCCACAAGGTATTTGATTGTGTTTATGTACATATAATATACATGTGCTTATACATAAGTGAAATGAATAATGGGAATGATACAAGGAATAGGAGAGAAGAATTAGAATTACTTGCACTTTGTAAAGTATTTGCTCTAAACACAAGATTGTATAATGTTATTTGGAAGTGGACTTGGAGTAGTTGTAAATGTATGTTAAAAACTCTCAAGACAACCATTGAAAGAGTAAAAATTATTTTAAAAGGATAATTGTTATGCTAAGAAAGGAAAGTGGAATATGAAATGATCAATTGAAGCCACGTATGCAGAAAAAGAGTTGAAAGAAAAAAAAATAGGAACAAGTACAGGGGAACCAAAAAACAGTCACAAATATACTGGGTATTAATTCAGCTATATCAGTGGTCACTTTAAATGTCAATGATCTAAATATACCAATTAAAAGAGTATCAGAATGGAACAGATGGCAAGATTCAATTCTGTATTATATAAAGGAATCCACTTTAAATATGAAGATAGATTAAAAGTAAGTGGATGGAAAAATATCAAAAGAAAGTGTGACTGGATATATTGATTTCAGAAAAAAGTGATTATCTGAGCAAGAAAAGTTATCAGGAATAAAGTGGGTCATTGCATTATGATAAAGGGGTCACTTTTTCAAGAAGGCATAATAGTCCTAAATGTATATATTTGGCTAACAATGAAACATTGACAAAAATGTTTCATTATAAGGTAAAAACTGACAGTACTGTGCTAGAAGTAAAGGAGAAATAGATTAGTTCACTAATTAGAGTGAAGACTTTAGTATCCCTCTATCAGAAGTAGACAGATTTGGAGGCAGAAAATCAGTAAGGGCATAGTTTGGTTAACAACACACTATCAATCTCAACTGGAT